AAACAATAGCTACAAGTGTTTTTTTCATGGACCAGATGCTTACATGCAATTAGCTAGTATATTTGATAACCAAAATTTGGGGTGTAAATTTTTTGACAATGATCAACAAACGTTTATCTTACTGTTTGATGCACAAGCTGAGAAAAGAAGTAATCATAAGAAAAAGTCTAGATTTCCAGAACTAACAGTTGAATGGAAAACAAAACACAAGAAAGATGCAAAAAATAACCAAACCTTTGCTGGATACATGTACTTAAATTTTTATACATTACAGGTTTAGAGTTATATATATTCTTTAGTTAGTTGGTTATAAGAAATCAAATAAATAATAATATCAGTATATGGGTTTGAATGAGTTGTTTTTTTCTAATTTTTTTTTTTTGTTGATATTGGTGCTCAAATATCTACTGTTACTTGTGTAAAAATGAAACCTCCGAACAGACTAATATTTCCAGTAATTCTTCTATATCATATAGTTTTAAAACAAGCAGAATGGCTAAGCCATTTTCAACAATCATCAGTGAAGTACACATGACTAAAATTGCTTCATGGATTGATAAAAGATTAGATGCATATTCTGTAATAATCAATCCATATAAATTTGAATTACTTCTTCATGAAACCAAAAATGGTTTTACTTCTGCTTCATTTTGGAATTTATGTAATAGTCAAACAAATGTTGTTGTAAATGTGAAGATTGAAGATACTGACGAAATTTTTGGTGGATACAATCCTAATGGATAGGACAAACTGATTAATGATAAGAATACATAAGTGTAATGAGAGCTTAATTTTTTCATTGAAAAATAGTAGTATCCAAATCCAAAATTCTATTTTAAGCCATGTGAAAAATCCAAGATATGCGATTTTTTTGTGCCTATATTCCGGATTCAAGGTATAGTTAGATAATATGTTAAACCAACTTTTAAGTAACAATTCTAAATTATATGGTATACTTTAATTGTTTATAGAATAGTCTGTGCTATGGAGATGACATTCTTTATAAGGCTCTTGAGAGTATATTCCTATATATTAAAATAGATTTAAATTGTATATATGAACGGATATTAGCTAATGAAATGAAAAATAAGTTCTATACTCTAGATGAAGCAAACTTGGTTTTATTTAAGGCTAAAATTTGTAATAGTAAGTTAGGGTACTCAAGCACTTAGATTAGTGCTTAATTTTGATTTAGTGAAAAATAGTTTAGCCGGTCAAGTGTTTTTATCAGAGTTTTACTGGTTGGCTAAAATTTAATATCTGCATTTCGCGATATAAATCTTTAGCAAAATTATCATAATGATTGCTTCAATAATTGTAGTACTTGTAAACAATCTTGATAGCTGGCCAATCAAAGTAACCCTTAATCGTGATTTTATGAGTTGAATTAAGTATAAAAGATTTATCTTTTTTTATTCATAATTCAATTTAATAGAACTCCAGGTAGCAATTTAAGCCTTTAGAGATTATCTTTTAAGCCAGTTATTTGTCAATTTACTCGATCATGATCAGCACAGTAGGAATCAATTTTTATGAATCGTCAGTAGTTTTTATAAAATTTTGAAAGTACCTGAGTGAGTTTTTTCAACTTTCCATGTATGTTGTTTTTAGAATATCACACCGAATGTATAATTATCATTTTGCCTTCACTACATTTCAACCTGTAGGAATTGTTAATTCAAGAAATCAAGTCCAAATATAGATATGATGACTACATAAGAATGGTAATTAGTTTAGAAATAAAAAGGATTTCCGTTAGGCTTCGATTTTGGCAAAACCATGATAACAAAATTGGTCACATACACTTTTATGAGAGTAGTGCATGGCAATATCAAACAAAAACTTGATTTTTAAGTTTTTGAATCTATCAATTTAAAGTATTGGCATTAAATACAATTTTATTTTTAGTAAATATATAAACCTAACAGACATCTGGTCTTACTTTATACTTCATGGTAACTTATCATGAAGTTTGAAGTCAGATTAGAGTAAAAATAGATTTTGTAATTAAGCACAGTATTGTAAATTGATAGATTCAAAATCTTGAAAATCAAGTTTTTGTTTAATTTTACCAAGACCAAATAGAAGGCAACAAAATAGCAAACCGAAATATTTACAAATTAGAGTAATTTAATTTACAGCACCTAGATAGGGATAATACTTGGCCACATTAAAATTAGAGTTGTTAATGTGATTATAATAATAGATAACATTGGATGGATAGAAAGTCTGTCTTAATTTGTTTCAGTTCAACTGTGAATGTGCATTAAATATTGTATACTTAAAAATTAAAAGTCAGTGATAAAAGCTTTTGGAATCGAAGTAACTACACTTTCCAATTGCTTCAAATATTACTTATTCAGAAAAGTTATAATTTTTATTTATTAAAATTTCCAATTTTTTTTTTTTGTTTAACTATCATAAAAAAAAAAAAGGAAAAAGATTCTTAATAATTAAAATTAAGCCAGATTTCTGGCTTGATATTTTGAAGATTTACTTTATAACACTATCACCATGTTAATTAATCATTTAACAATTTAAATAATTAAAATTTATCAATTATAAAAATCAGACAATCATTTATTAAAAAATGTTAT